AATGAGGAGCAGAGCTTATAAATTTCCATTATGCTTAATGCCTGATTTCATGTAGTTAATGGATTCATTTATTAGAGCAATTTGTGTAAATCCCCAAGGCGTGCTAAGTCTGCTGTCTAATGGTGTTATCACGTCACAACTTCCTTTATTCCTTTCCTTTAACAAATAATAAAATAAATGGGCAAGGAACTTAGGACCAACTACTGCATGAACTATAGGTGAGCAGTAAATAAAGCAAAGTGGGGTGGGGTGAGGCTTTTCATACTTCTAAGGAACTGTGGGCCTCTGGCTGAGGTAATTTCATCAGATCACTGATGAAATTCCAGCAGCACAGGGATACATGCATGTGAATGTGAGCACAAGGCTAGTCTCTGGCCAGCACTGGGGCCTCCAACCTCAGCATTTGGTGCAACTGTTCTTCTTTACCCCAATGGGATGAAAGCAAGAATCCAAATCAATAGAGGCAAATCCATACCCAACACTTGGAAAAACACTTACTGGGGACTCCCTGCTAGAAGAGGGGTTACCCTTAACGCATTAACAACAAAAACACAGTAACAAAACAATAATAACATTTTGGTCCCCCCCCATTGATAATAGAAATGGTAATATATACAGCTAAATAGCCACTAATATATAATTTGTCTTCTGTACCAAATTATGTGACTTACTAAGTAATTAGGAAAAACAATATTACCTATGTCTTATTTGTTAAGGAAAGGGACCTGGTCTTTGGTTAATGCTTGAGGAGAGGTAAGAATCAACATGCCCTTGTTTGAAAACAGCTGAACTGCTTAATATCAGAAGGGCTCCACAGCTGGTGGAATGAGGAAATGGAGTGAAAGGGAGATGGAGAGGCTGAGGGGGTAACGGGCTGAGTAGAGAGCTAGGTGAGATTAAGAAAAACAGGGGTGGGCAGAGAAAGACTTAGAAAGCTTGTGGATGAAGAAAAAGGGTTTGAAAGTGTGTGAAGATATTGGAAGGACATGCAATAAGGTAAACTCTGTAATCTTCCTTAGGAAACTGACATAAATTTAATTTCCTGTTACTATATTATGTGAAAATAGCTGTATGATATTACTTTAAATATGGTTTATATGATATATACAACATTCTCATTGTGGGTCCTAGGAGGGAATTTAAATATTGGCCCATATGGCTGATGACTGAGAGACATATATTGTACAAAAACACTAAAATGCCCAAAGCAAACAAATAGCTTCCAACATGAACCCCCATTCCAAAGTCACCAGGAAAGTATCCAAATTTATCACAGGTTTGCTTTCTACATGAGCCACTCCACAAGGCTCTGAGGAAGAGGGAGGAGGGAGAGAAGAAAGGAATGAGAAGGAGGGGGTAAGGAAGGGCGGGAAGGAGGGTGGGTAGAAGAGGGTAGATGGATGAAGGAGGAGGGAACATGGATGGACGGGTGGATGGGTGGATGGTTAGGGTGGGGAATACATGAAGTTAGCTGGCCTTCCATGGAATTCACAGTGCTCCCTAACACCTGCTATGGGGGTTTCTTGGGAAATGAGATGACTGCAAGGTCAGCCAGGGGACAAAGCCAAGGCTGTTGGTAATGATGCACAATATTTGGGTCACAAATGAAAAAACAATGAATTACTAATTCATAGGGGTAGATGTATGAATCAGACAATGGATTAAAAAGGACCCACTTCCAGTAATAATTAGTGCAACAACAGTGAAGTCACTTAACCTTTTCATGGTGGTTAAAGGAAAGTTGAGACTTTGTGCCATGGACCCCATTAGAGGCTCAGTTATACCATTTACTAGTTAATTCACCTTGGACGGGCCCATTAAACATAAGTTCTGGTATAAAAACATGGGGATAATATCAGTATCTGCCTCAAAGAGCTAGGGTGAGAATTCTGTAAGTTAACTGTAGCCCAGATGATGTTCAGGATGATCATCATTAGTTACTATAACCCCACTTGATAATCAAGTGTGTCTAGTTAGCCCCAACTCACATTTTTAAGATGATGTTTCCAAGTTCGTTTCCTGGTCTCTTTTTTCCTTTCTTTTATGGTCCTTATAGTCATCAGCACTTCATTCTCCTATACGTTAAGTAGATGTAAATGGGTACTTTAAAATTCAGTTTGTTGGCTTTACATTTTACTCTTTAGGAATGTGATGAATACATTTTTGCACTAATCATAAATTTCCACACAGTACCCACATACAACATTCGATGATAAACCTATGTAATATGGTAGTTTTGATATCATAAGAAGCATGTCTCATTAGAAAATAACAGCATGCAACTGGCCTTTCTACCAGAGACAGAGCACTGAAGTGTCTATGTATGTGAGGTGATGTGGAAGCAACAGATACTGGCACATCCTTCATGACCACCAGCCTTGTGACATTTGTTCTGCTACAGTGTTTGCCCATTAAAAATCCCACTTCACACTCCTACCTGCCCTGTTCCCATCAGGAAGACCAGGGTTTTTCTTTCCTCATACCGGCCAGCTGTCTCTATTGCAAGAAGCTAGAAAGCCCTCCCCTGCCTTTTCCTACAAGTCTGGGATACCCAGGCTACCTGTGCTATCCACTGTCCACACTCTGCAGTCCCTGGTAACAGCAGTGGGCGAAGGAGGGCAAAACCTCAGAACCAGCCTCCAAGCCTTTGTGGGTTTCAGCCAGATCCTAAGTGTTATTTTAGAGCAACTTCACTGTTTAATTTGAGGATATGTGCACAAAGGAGGGACCAAAATGTTTCTCCCCTTTGGTCAAATGATTAAATTTGAAATTCTAAAAAAAAAAAAAAAGCATAGCTTGCTTCAAAGCTGTGCCTAATGGGAAAGACAGAAATACCCTGAAACCCCTCCCCTCAGGAACCAGCTTCCTTAACCACTTGTCACAGAGCAAGGCCCATTTTCCTTGGGCATCACTTGAGCCCAACTAACCAGGAGCCCTGTGACCTGAGCCTCTCCTTCCCTCCTTGAAAGTGTATGCCACACCTTTGCTGGGAGAACATTGTACAGGTTTGTTTAATTTCTTATAGTCTTGGAAGCACCATAACCAGTAGCAGCTAAGCCATGGCTGAAGGGGAAATCACAACTTTCACCGCTCTGACTGAGAAGTTTAATCTGCCGCCGGGGAATTACAAGAAGCCCAAGCTTCTCTACTGTAGCAACGGGGGCCACTTCCTGAGAATCCTTCCAGATGGCACAGTGGATGGGACAAGGGACAGGAGCGACCAGCACAGTAAGCACGGTCCTTCTTACATCCCCTCACCTTCCTGGCAATCTTAGTTAAGGGTGGAAAAAGGACAGCATCAATACTGGCACCCCCTCCTCCAAGGTTCTACTCAGACACACTCAGAGGGTGGGGTTACATAAATGTGTAAAGGGTCTGGGTGTGGCAAACAAGGAGCTGTGAGGCTCCAGTCTACCAGAAAGGCTCTTATTTAAAGATTTTATAAGGACCCTCTGTCAACCTAGCACAACTGCTTTGAGATCTGATATAGCTGCCAGGATTCATTAACTGTGTATCTGCCCAGGTTTCTGTAACTAGAGAGAGGTCTGGCCCCTGAGTCTGGCTGGGGTCCTTCTTGCTCCATAACAGGAAGAACCACATGGGGCAGGGGCAGTAAAACCTGCACAAAGACGGGGGCTCCGTTTCAAGTTAACTGACTTTGCGGGTTATGTTTCTACTGGGTTTGATTTGTGAAATTCTCATTCATAATCACAGTCTTACACGTCGTAAATTATGCAGCTTGCTTGCTCTCTCTGTGTATCATGCAGATGTGGTTGTGGTAACAGGGGTAAAGTCATTCTCCAGACCTTATAGAAACTGGAGGGCCAGAGCCATTCAATCCAAAGGCTGATTCCTCTTACAGGAGCTCCTGCCAGCCCTGCTCTCAAATGGTGCTGATAAAGGGAGATATGACTTTGGAGAAAAGAAAGAATAGAAATGTCTTCCTTTTGCTGCAGCACTTCTGGCACTGGTGTGCATGTTCAATGTTAGTGTGTGGGTCTGCTGTGATGCTAGTGGTGCTGTGAGCACCACTGAGGTTTACATATTAGAGAGAGGCCAAAAATCAGAGCTGTTCCCAGGTAAGGGGGTCGGTGATTTATAGGGGCCAACATGACATGCCATAAATCAAGAGATGGAAAGTGGAGGTGAAATGAGGAAACCGAACAGCACAGGTAAGAAGTAAGGTCTGTAGACAGTCCTGAAAACAGAATGCAAAACACTGGCCTTGGTTTGTTAATCAAGTAATAGTAACTATCCATGGAATATGCACCATAGGTCACAGACTCCAAGCAGGAATGACATCTCAGTGGTGCTCACACTGTGCTCTCAGGTGCATCAGTAAGCTGATGAGGGAGGGGAAAGCTGGTTTTGATGGACCAGGTGACACGGGCCTGTCCTTCCCGCCACCCATGTAGACTGCTAAGATGGGCTTGTAGCTGCAGTTTTGGGGTGGGTGGAGGGGCTTTATTTTGATGGCTTGTCTTCAAATGGGCTTACTGATTGTCTTATATTCAATGAAAAATAGGTACCACAGTGAAACAAAAAAGACTCTAGTACACCAAACACACACATATGCAACATTTAGTGTAAATAAATGGGCTTAGGTTGTAGTCTACCATGTCAGGTAGCTAGCTATACATACAATCTGTCCCCTACAACACAAGGGAAGCATGCTTTGTTACCTGGGGTTTTAATAAGTTTATCCATTTTTTCAATCAATGGGAATGCTCTCAGGGACTGGAACTCTCAAGGGAAAGACAATTCTGTAATGTGTTCCTCAGGGTTAAGCTGGCTTTTCTGGGAAACCTTGAATTCTGGGGTAGCAGGAGGCTACAATGATAATTTCCAAGAGCTAGAATTTCAGTAAAGATGGCAATAACTTCGTTGTTGGCAAGCCCTCATTAACATTATCAGCTCTACTCTGGGCATGTAACATGGGAGCAACTTCTGAGTTGTGTTGGGATCGGCTGCCTAAGGTGTCAGAAGAGGTCTACATCCACATAATGCTGGGATGACTCCTTGCCAAGTGAACCTGGACCAATTACTTAACCTTTCTGGTTTCACAATAACATCACTTGCTGCAGTTTTCTTGAAAACATTAAATGAGATAATGTAGTGAAGGTTCCCAGCTTAGTGCCTGGCTCAGAGTAACTAACTGTTCGGCACACGTCGGTTAATATAGGTGTCATTGTCACATGCCACCCTCAAGATTTCCATCCATCCAACCCTACATATATCAACAGAAATCAATACATTTTCATACTTAGGAGCCATCCCAGTATCATCTCTTCTATTAAACTGCCCTCTAGGAAGGCCAAAGATCTAAATTTAGATTTTCATGTAAGGCCTCTCTGCCAATATTCAGAATTGTTATATTGGCCTATTTATTTACTCTGGACTAAAAATGAGGACAGAAATCAAAGTGAGGTGGGCAGTAAGCAGAAATCCACCCTTATAACCATCGCCACCAAGAGAACTGGGTAATTTACATACCCTCTGCAGTGGCAGGGACCCTAGAGTCAGAAAACTTGAGTTCATATTCCTGCTCTGCCCCTTTCAAACTGGGGCAACAATGGACAAGTAGCCTCCTCTCCACTCTCTATAAAGAGCTCCACAAAAGCCTTTATCTCCCTAGCTCCTTTATCTCCCCATTTCCTGTCTAGAAATGTAAATTCTACAGAGTCCCCAGCTGTCTGATCTTGAGAAAAATACTGAAGCTCAGTTTCCTCACCTGTGGGGTGGGAGTAACAATGCCTGTGTGCTTGGCAGTGCCAAAAACTCCTAAAATACTACAGGAGAGGGGACCCCTGGCAGGGATGCAACACAGAATGTGGCTTCTGTCGCCCTCTTCTGCCCAACAGCGATACTGCCACAGCCCTTCTGTATTTCAAGGGTTATTCAGAAATAAAGCAACCTGGGCAGGTATAGAAAGGATGACACCCAACTGATCAGCACAGTCTGGCAAAAGGATGATTTCATGAATGACCACGGAGTGGTCACAGGCAGAGATATGTCCTCTTAAGACTGCCTTCAAGAATAATATCTGAGTCAATCTATATAATATTTAGATAAATCTACATAAAGATAGAACAATCTGCCTTCCAGTTTTATGAGGCCAAAATATGACTCCCAAAGCAGCTTTCTGTCCCAAATCAAATGATCTTTCCTAGTAAAAATTTCAAAGTTTTCAAAACTTGTATCCTTCCTACCTCTGGGAGAATAAATTTCCAAGCACCTAACACAAGGCCTTTCTGTGATGGATACAAGCTATACAAGCTATTATATAGTAGGCCTGAGTAAAATGTCTCTAATGGTAGGAATTTCTGGCCTGCAGAGAAAGTATCTTTAGTTTGTCCTCTGACAGCTGCTCCAGCCATAGCTACAGGTGATTAGCAGTACAGGCTGTGTGCATCTGTCACACTCCTATACCCAAGGGCCAGGCAAAAGCAGAAAGGGAGAGGTGCAGACTGCAAAAGGGAACAATGGGTGTGGGCATGCTGACTCCTGGGCCTTTACTTTGGGAAGAGGTTAACGCTGGAGTCATCAGGAGAGGGTTATCCTGAGAGAAGACAGGCGGCCCCACTTCAGACACGGCGTGTTTGAAGAGTTCCTCATCTACTGGGCAGCTCTCCTTGAAGTGACATTTATTTGTGTAATTATTTAATGGTTTTCTCCCCTACCCAATTCCCTGAGAATGGGGAAATTGTCTCTTTAGGCTGAACACTGCAAAGTTTGTGCCTGGTACACTGCCTGGCACTTGGTCTGACACCTAATAAACATTAATTTGATGAGTGAATGAACTATATTGATGGTGGATAAATTCAAATTCAACAATACAGCCAATAAATATCTACTATGCACCTGAGGTGTGCCAGGCATTGTGCTAAACTCTCATTTCCACCTAGCCACAACCCCCTGAGGTTATTAATTATCATCACTCTGTGAACACTGAGTTAACAGGGCCTGAGACGAGCTAGTAACAGAAAAGCTTGGCACAAACCCATAGCTGCTTCTTCTAAGACTAAAGCTCTTCCCAAATCCCAGTAATGTCCATGGGAACAAAACCCCAAACAGATTAAATAAATACTGGATTCACACATCTCTTGTGTGGCGCTGGGAGTGTCACTGCTGTTTACCAGTTCCATGTCACCACAGAGAAGTTGCCTTTCCTCCACCTGTCTCAATAGGCCATTTTAAAATCAAGGGTGATAACAGTACCCACCTCAGAGGAGAGTAGGAATTTTAAATGCAGTGTTTGTAAAAGCGTTTAACATTCTGCCTGGCATATAAATGCTCAGAAAATGGTATTTAGCACGTAATCAGCAGTAGAAGCAGCACCCCGCTAAGCTTATGTGGCCTTCCTCCTCCAACCATCTGATCTCCAGGGTCTGCTAAGTGAAATGAATGCTACTGACTGAAGGTGACTCTTCATCTCACATCTCTGGAGCTGCCCAGGTTTGGCACACTCAGGCTGGTATAGAGTACAGTGTGCCTGGGCATGAGCCCAGCAAACCTTGCCTGTCCAACCTCTCTGCAGAGCATGTTGTCTTGGGCAAGGCAAGGAGATCCATGTTTGATTCCATTCTTTCTGCTGGAGCTTCCTATCCTGTATAAAGAGCCTGACTTATTCCTCAACTTATTAATAAATGAACCATAACTGAAGAACAAGAAGCTCACCAATGTTCCAAACCTGCAGTCCCTCCTACAACCCACACCCCCTGACTTCCCCAGGCTCGTAGCGACTGTGCAGAGAGCAGGATTACTGGCACCACTCGCCACACAAATGGAAATGTTCCTGAGCAATCAAATATTTATAAATCAAACCACATCCTACAGGCACTAGGGAGTGCATTGGTCAAAGAATCTCACTTTGCAGCCTTTTATACAGAGCAGGCTCCTCTTCAGTGAAATCCCTTATTCCCTTGATTTCGGGCAGTTCAGACTTCTATTCTCTGCTTTGATATGACTCGGCATCTAATGGTAAAGGCACTTTGCTTGCCACCAGCTTGGACTGAAGCCAACACAGCTTTTCAGATGGCCTGGTTGGGCAGAGCTGGATCTGCAACCAGAAGTCAGAGAGAGGGACAGGTCTTCAGGAATGCTCTTCCCCGCAGGGTGTTCTCACCACACTGAGTGTGGTGCCAAAGAACCCCTGTCCTGCCTCCCCTCACTGGTTATCTGATAACATAAAAGGGAGTTTTCTAAATAAACTATTTTTTTTAATATTA